TGTGGCCTCTCCCGTTGCGGAGCACAGGCTCCGGACGCGCAGGCTCAGCGGCCATGGCTCACGGGCCCAGCCGCTCCGCGGCATGTGGGATCTTCCCGGACCGGGACACGAACCCGTGTCCTTTGCATGGCAGGCGGACTCTCAACCACTGCGCCACCAGGGAAGCCCTATCCAATTCTTAGAGACAGCAAAGGGGCATGCTCTCTGGGATGTTCACTGCAGCATTTACAGTCATCCCAGATTAGAAACAACCTAAACATCCAACAATAGGAGGTCTTTCCAGCAAATTTTGATACAGCAGCTCAACAGGTTACTGTGCAATCATTCAGAAAGCATGCTTTCAATCACTACTCAATGACGTGGGGAAATAGTCCACAAATAAGGTTAAGGGAAACAACCAAGAAACAAAACTCTCTGTACAATCTGATCCCCAATCTGTAATACCAGAAAAAGACAGGAAGGAAATACACAGAAATATGAACAAAGGTTGTCTCTGAGTAATGGAGCAGGTGATTTTTTTTAAAAAAATCAAGTCTTCTAAGTGGGAATGAATTCCTTTTAAAGTATCCCTCTACCTTCCTATTTTTATGTATTTTAATGAACATTTCTTTTGATTACAGATTCTCTTGTACGCGTGGAGGGTCTGCCTGTTTCTGCCAGCGATAGGCACGCGGACCCTGGACCTATCTGTTAGCCAATGCTGCACCGTGTTACTTTCTTGTTAGAAAAATATAAAATTCCCAAACCAAAAAATAAAAGCTCTTGCCTTGTAGGAGAAGGAAGCCTCACTCACAGGGTCAGCACTGCTCGCGGGCGGGAGGTGCTGCAGCTGCAGGGCTGCTCTGTGGGCTCCGTCCATGGTGGTCTAAGGGCACATCCCACCGGGCCTGGTTTGGCAGCTGCAGCTGCTGCTAAGCCATCTTTCCTTGTGGGGTTTGCCTCCTTCCACCAGCCATCACTTTCCCACACGGAGAGTACTTCAAGGCTCTTTTGGCTGATTTACAGCCTTTTCCTCATCTTCCCTCAGAGACGTGCCAGTTTCTAGGTCTCTTCCCAGGCAGACAGACAGGGATGCGTTTCCTGATTCTCACGGTGCTCTAGAGGGTGGGGAAGAACATTAAAAATGCATGTACAATGAAACATTGAAACATTATCATCTCAAATAAAGATATGGCTCACCTACCTCAAAGCCTTTTCCCAGCCCTTTAAAAACCCCATAGCTCGCCTCCTTTGCTTCCATCATATCCTAATTTAAATGCTACTTTTCTATAGGCTCCCCTACATAAGTAAAACACTACCTACATCTACTTCTCCAGGACTCCAAAAAGAGAAAAAAAATCCCACTGCCGTAAAAAAGGAACCATCTACATTCTGATGCAGGAAAGAAAGAATGAGAAGAAAAGTTATCTCCATGGAAGATGGAAGAATTGTCCTGCTTCTGAGGGTCAGCCTAGCACAGGTGATACAACATTGGACCAGGAGGGGGAAGACCTAAGTGACCAGATCATTTTGCCTCTGGAGTCTCAGTTGCCTCATCTGTAGAACAGGGGTAAAATGTGGCCTCAAGTAAAACCAGCAATGACAGTAATTCCCATTAACTTCATTGGACTGATATTTTCAGGGCATCTCAAGCTTTTCTACCAAATAGAGAAAGATGAAGTATGCCCTTAGTGTTATAGGAAGCATGGCCAAAATACCTTCTGCAAGTGCTAAGGGTTTCTTTGAGGTCTTCTTATATTTAAAAAATATATATATCATACAAATTTGGATTCTACTGCAAAGTCTATGTTTATTTATTTATTTATTTTTGCGGTATGCGGGCCTCTCACTGTTGTGGCCTCTCCTGTTGCGGAGCACAGGCTCCGGACACGCAGGCTCAGCGGCCATGGCTCACGGGCCCAGCCACTCCGCGGCATGTGGGATCCTCCCGGACCGGGGCACGAACCCGTGTCCCCTGCATCGGCAGGCGGACTCTCAACCACTGAGCCACCAGGGAAGCCCTATGTTTATTTTAATATAAAAATATTTTAAATTACTTTTGATCCGCCATGTGCTACCTGTTTTACCTTGGCCAAGTCATTTAACTTTTCAGCCAGTCTCCTCTGCTGTGAAATATGGATATTCCAAGCCCACGTGTTTTGAGAATTTGGTGAAATAATGCATATAAAATATGTGCACAGTGAATGGTCAATGAATGTCAGTTATTATTAGTATTAATTTTATTATTATCGGTCTAATTATTTAATTTGCCTATGAATACACCTTTCTTTCTCTCAAGCAACGAATATTTGAGGGCTTACTGCGTGCCAAACAAAGTCTCTGCTGTGCCTCAAGGTGTCAGAAAGCTGCCTCCTATCTTTCCTGTAGCTTCCAGTTCCTTCTGTTATCTAGCCCTAGGCCCAGGAATTCTGGTTCCTGGTGTGAACAGCACAGTCTTATGTTATAGGACTAACACTGAGTCCAGAATCTAGGAGACATCAGATGCAGGGCTTAGCACTGGGGCAGCACTTAGACAATGTAGCCCAGGTCTCACTTTGTCAAAGGGCCTCAAAGTTAAATGAATGCTTCTGCCTCTAGATGAGGTTATATATTCAGTATATATATACCTGAAGTACACTCATCAGACAACTTTGTAACTCACATCCCATAACCAGACCTCCCTGACTGTAAAGCCCTACGAATATTTGTTTGTAATCTTGTGAAAAGCGTAATTATTCTTCACTATACTTTTATGCCTTAGGAAGGAAGGGTGGCCCAGGGTTCCCTTCATCTCTGAGACCCTCTTAGAGGCTTTCAACCTGGAGGTGAAGGGGCGCTGGAGCACAAACTCTGGGGAGAAGTTTGCTGAATCCCCTGCTCCGTTGCTCCCTGCCGAGATCTAGCCCAGAGCCTGGCACGGTGACCTCCATACATACCTGCTGACTGGCTATAGACAGGCCTGTAAAGCACCTGGTGCACCGTGGCTGCTTCACGGGCAAGAAGAGAACGGCTTACTCAGGCCTAACCAACCAGCCCCGCCCACAGCACGTCAAAGGGACCTCAGGGATGTGCCAAGGGGCTGATGGGAATCCAGGCCCCTAACTAACCTCCTTTGGATCAGCTGGTTCCTCCAGGTGGGTTTCTGTTTTTGCCCTCCTTTGTAGCGGCTGTGGTTACTCTCATTTAATTCGCTTTGAAAAAGCAGCTTCCCTCTCTGCCTCAGGAAACCCAGGCCTCTGAGGCATCATGGCCTGCAAAGACAGAAAACTCTCCCTCAGCTGGGTAGCCGTTGGGACTAAAAGCCTTGGAGGAACTCTCTGCAAGTTGCCCTTCCTTATAAGGCACACATTCTTTGCCCAGCGACTCTCTTTTCCTGACTTCAAAGCACTTTTCCAGGACTAACCCATGCCCTAGAGGCAAGGAGCCAACGCTGTGCTGCCAGCCACCCCTTAATTTTGAGGCCCTCACAGCCACCAGTGAGCACAGGGTCGCTGACTCAAAAAAGGAAAGATAATTCACTAGGTGATGGCTTCCACTCCATCCCCCAGCCCTCATCTCAATGAATTACTTCACTGACCCACAGAATACGGTTTCCCAGCCTAGAGAAACGTAGCTCGTTGCTGCTAAGAGTAGGGTCTGTATTAGACCCTACTGACAGAATTTGGCTCTGCTTGAACAAACAACTCAAACACGCCCTTTCCCAACACCTGCCAATTCAGCTTTCGGTTGCTGAGTGCCAGTTACAGGCCAAGCGCTTTCCCTTTCCTGGGCTTTGGCTCACTAAAGGGTTAGACGCTAAAGTCCCCACCCAATGCGCTGGAAACAACTTCCAGAGGCCAGCATGGATCAAGAAGGCCTTCCCTCATCCACCTGATAACTCCACCATCTGCTATCGCCCAAGCCGGCGTGTATAGGAACAATTTAGGCGAAGTTACTCTATTTCACTTCCTGATTTGGTAACGCCTGGCATCACCTTTACTAAGGCAAATCCATGCCCCTCTCCTCGATGCGAAAATGGAAAAAGCATTCTGAGGCAATGAGACCCAAAATGACAAGAAGGAAGATATTTACGGTAGATGATCACAAATGCATTCGCTTTTCCTGAAACGAAGGGTGAATTCAAGTCCCCCTTCCCCCGCCCTTAGTCTTAATCACTACTCACCGGCGGCGTTTCCGCTAAGGCCCACCTATCAGAGGTTTCTGAGCAATGACTTAGACTCTTAGCGCAACCCGGAGGCACAGCCTCCCAGATTCCTTCCCCAACCCAGAGCTGCCCGAGTGCTGCAGTGTTTTGTTTTCAAAGGCCGAGATTTGATTTGCCAGGCCGCCTGCCAGTCAAAAGCTGACGGGCATTTGGTGCAGGCGAGCGGCTGCGAGGAGGGGGTGGGCGGGACAGACCTCCGGCATTGGCTCCGCCGAGAAGCTTGCTTGAAGCGTAGGGGGAGAGCTTTGAGGAGGCGGTGCCCCGCAGGAGCTTTGCGCTCTCCTGGAGAGGGTCCCCTCTAGCGGCCACAGGAAGGATGTTGGAACAAAACTCCGCTCCCTCCTCGGGCTGTGTCTGGAAAGCTCCGGTGACTTGCTCACTCCACCTGCCCTACAGGTGGGCAGCCTGCCAGGTGTCCTGCCTCCTTATCCTCAGAGCCCCCTCCCGGGCTTCGCTCCTGCTGTTGCCCCACCCCACGCTCTCACCAGGTATTCAAATCCTACACATCTTTCAAGGCCCGGTTCCTCCCAAAGCCGCGGGGTATAAAAATCTCTCCTTGCCTGTCCTCCCGGAACACCTGTTGGCAGCACAATATACCAACCCTCCCGGTACGTCCCCAGCTCAGCAATACTTAAGGTCCACCAGTAAGCCCAGCATTTGAATGCTTCCGTAATGTACAAGTGTAATAATTATAATTGCCTCTAGGATATATTGTACAATACAGGGAATATAGCCAATATTTTATAATAACTATAAATGGAGTATAACCTTAAAAAAATGTGAATCACTATACTGTACACCTGTAACATATAATATTGTACAGCAAGTATATTTCAATTTAAAAATTAAAATTTTAAAAAATGAGTTGTATTTTAAAAATAATTAATACGTGCATGGAGCTTCTGCTTTTTCACTCACGTGCATTTCATTTCAGATCCTCTCAACAACCCCCTGAGTGAGACATTGGGCTCATGCCCATTTTACAGGTGAAGACATGACATTTGGACAGAGACCTCGATGATGAGAAAGAGGCAGTTGTGGTTCAGACCCTGATACCAAGCGAACTCAGAGGGAACACCCGAGAGCAGGACGAGGTTGACATATTGTAGGAACTGCCCAAAGGACAGCGTGGCTGGTGCGAGATTTTTCTGGCGCGTGGGAAGGGGGAGCGGGACGGGCAAGGGACAGCTTATATGAAGATGTTTGGATTTCATCCTAAGTTTAAAGGGGAGCCCTTGGAGTGTTCTAAGAGGGAGAATGACAAGATCACTGTGATTGCTCTTAAGTGTGTAAAGAGGGGCTCCTGGAACACTACATGGTTGCCCTCGTATGTTGCCCGTTTCAGTCTTTTTTCTTTGGCTCTTATAAACAGGGCCTCGATGTTAGAACTAACATTCGATGAATGTTAGTTCTCCCGTCCAAGTACTAACCAGGCACCGACCCTGCTTAGCTTCCGAGATCGAGACGAGATCGGGCGCGTCTAGGGTGGTTTGGCCCTAGACGAATGAATGTTAGTTCTTTTAGGTTTATTCCTTGAAGTAGGATTTCTGGGTGAGCAAAAGTCTAAGGCTTTGGGTCTATCACAAGATTTGGGGGGGGTTCCTAGATAAGCTCTATTAAGGTTCCCCACCCATCCTGACGTAGTTCACCCGAACCCTAAAATTCTGGCAGCTTCCCAGCGGTTTTTGAAATGCCTCTGATCATTGGCCAACAACTTTTCACGCTAAAGAAACGGAGGACACCATTGGTTCGAGTTCATCCGGAAGCGAGCAGACAGTAGAAGTTAGAATGTTTAGGCCTGTGGTTGCCATAGCGACAGGGAGGTTGACAGGCCAGATTCAGCCCTGAGGGACCCGACAAGGTAGGAAGCTGTCCCTTTTGGGGGACGGATGCCAGGGTCGTGGGGAGGAGGACCCGACGCACCGCATGGGACGCCCACTGAGACCGCCGCCTTCCCGGTGCGTGCGGAGTTCCGCTGCTGAGCTAGGTGGTGCCGTGAGGGCCGGAAGAAGCCACTGTTGGAGGTTCCCCTCCCTGGAGGTGTGCCCTCAGAGTCCCCACCTGAAAAGTGGTGATAATAACCAGGGCACGCCTTCCTCATAGAGCTCCGGTGAGGGGCGTGGGCATCTGACTCCCCTGCCTCAGCCCCGGCGAGTGTACAAACGTTTGGGGTCGTCTGGCAGCAGGTGGACCACAAAGAGCTAAATTCTAATCCCAGGTCCACTCCATCTCCTGCCCTGCTCGGGGCTTCGGTTTACCCATCTGTGAAACGAAAGGCTGTGATTGGAATCTAGAGGTCACCAGCCGGCAGCGGAAGTTTATTCCAGCTCTCCGACACACTTTCTCGACCTCAGAAAAATATCACATATTTACCCGAGATTGCTTTGAAAAATGTAAAATACTTCCAAGATGCACCATAGCATTGTAACTGAATCAATAAAAATCTCATATAGTCAAAACTACTCATGCAAGTCCCATAAAATTCCACATAAAGATAACAGTATACATGAGGTAGTGTATATTGATATACTTGTACAGTAAAATACATGCATAAATATATGAAGTATGTCATAATACTATAAGATAAATAATAAGGGTTTTTTTTAAAACATAGAGATGGTAGAATGAAAACATGCCTACAGTTGTAGTTTTGTGAGTTAAATCTTTCTAGAATGTAGCTCCTAATGGAAAGAGTTGTATTTAATATTATGAGTACATCTATATACATTATGGATAAAATGTGTCTACTCCTAGTATTCATCCATTCATTCAGTGCACAAATATTTATTGAGCAACTGCTATGTGCCAGGAAACAGATTGGGGATTCAGTGATGAACATCTTATTCATGAAGATCATAAAAAAAAATTTTACATATTACATATAATGTTGGGTAGTGAAAAGTGCTTTGAGAAAAATAAGACAGGGTCAGGGGCTAGAGAGAGATGGGTGGTGCTTCCGAAGAGAGAGTGGTCAAGGAAGTCATCCCAAAGGCAATTTGAGGAGAGGCCCAGATGAATCTGGTGACAGGGCCAGAGGATGGTACCCAGTATAAGGGAGGAATCCCCATGTTACAAGGGTATTGCAGAAGCTGAAGAGGTTCCTTGTGGAGAAGAGGATTAGTCTTTAGGTTGTGGGTTATGACCGCTGCCTTCAAATACCTGAAGAATAGTCATACAGAAGAGTGGCTTTCAAACTTTTTGACTGTGACCCATGGTAAGAAATGCATTTTATATTGTGATCCAGCACACATACATAGGCACATAACAAAAGCTTCACAAAAGACTACAAGCAATGACCTGCATTTCAAAACTTACCAATGTGGAAGAGGAGTGAGACTTATTCTGAGCTGATTCACGCAGGAACTTTCTAGCAGTTAGAACTACCTAACAGTGAACTGCCTCAGGAGTTTTCAAACTGAGTTCTGGGGACCCCCAGCATCCTGTGAAAATTCAAGACAGCCTAAATATTTGCATAGGACTCTATTTGCATAGTACATTGCATAGGACTCTATGCAATGTCCTAATTTTTAAAAAACCAACCATACACACTCAAGGATAGTAAATGTCAACATTTAGCATGTTAACATTTAGTGTGTGCTGCCTTAGATGTTATTATAGTGGTTCAGAGCAAGCAGAAGTCAGACTTCCTGGGTTCAAAGCCTGATCCCACCTCTTACTTCTGGTGTGACCTTGAGTAAGTCACTTAACCCCTCCCTCTGAATTTCAGTTTTCTCATCTGTAAAATGGGGATAATACCTCACTGGTTTATTGTAAGGATTGCGTGAAGTATTCTATACAAGGCATTTAGGAGTGTAGGGGCTCAAGAAATGACAGCTATTATTTTAAGCTGTTAATATATTATCCCCGTGCATGTATTAAAATCTAATGTTAATAAAAGCCTACTGTAGGTTAGGCAGCATTAACTACTACTTGTGGATCGTCGTATTTGATCCTCACAAGCAACTTGAGAGGAAGGTACTGTTACCAATCTCCGTTTATGGAAGAGGAAATGGATTTAAAAGGTCAAGTGACTCATCCAAATAAGAACTATTAAGTGGCAGAACCCAGGACTATTAACCTTGAACAGATGACTGGATACTCTTGATCACTGTACTGGCCCTCACCTGGGAACTGCTTAAACATATGCTGTTGATTAGGAAGTTAGTATATCTTCATTGCTCTTTCTTAGATTCCAGGCCCATGACATCCTGTCATGAACAGTTATACAAGCAAGTGCACCATTGAGGCACATCTGCACAGTGCTCCATTCACACCTGGGCTGCACCTTCTCTCACCCTGGCTTCACAGGTATGCAGTAACAAGGCTGGAAAACATTATTAATAGTGTTATCTTTGGGTGGTAGGAATATGGATTGTTTTTTTAAATCTTTTAAATTTATCTTTCCAAAAATTTGACAATATGTACATATAACCATTGTAATAGGAAGCTTAAACCTTTTCTAATTACTCATAATTCTAGCACACTAATGAATTTAAAAAATAACAGCTTTATTGCAGCTGGGGAAATAGATGGTTATTACTAAGACAACAACACTGCACTGAGACGTGATAAGTGAATAGTGGCTGCTTTTATAGATCCTAAAAGACATTTTTATACTAGAGTAGTGATTGTGCTGTGATTGATATTGACTTGTTTCTGTTGTTTTTGATTTCTTTGAGTGTGTTGCCAATAATTATATTAAATATTAAGTTTTTAGTATAGATTGTCCACCATAAACGATTGAGAATTACTGCTCTGAGGGTGATAGAATAAAGTGAAGAGGAAATACTGAAGGAGCAAAGGATTGCTAGAGCATAACATCATTTATTCAATCCTTCATTCCTTAGTATTTATAAATGATGTAAGTTCCTTAGGAAAAAAGGTGAGTAAAATAAAACTCGTCTGTTCATGAAAGATTAACTTCCATGAAAATTAAATCTTGCTCCTGCTGTTAACAACTAAAAAAACAGAGAAATATAGGAAACATGGTTTTTAGACAATGAACAACAGGGAGCCCAGTACTGTAATCCCTGAGAGAAGAAAAACAAGGTGAGCC